CCTGAACGCGCCTGCGCACGCCTCCCGTTGAAGGGGAGGGGGAGTAGTGCGCAGGCTGGACAGGTTGGCTTTCAGAGTTCCCGTAAATTTCAATTAATATGTACATTATTAGTCGTAAAATTTTGATTTAAATTTATGACTTTTCATTGTTACGTAAGTTTACAATTAACAACGAAAAAATGTCAAATTTTGAAAACATGTTTCCCTATGTTACTGTATCACTAATATTAATTCGCCATTTACAATGACGAACATTGTTATATAATTTAAAGTACTATAAAACAGTTTAATTTTTAATGTTTTGAAACAACCCAGTTCAGGTATTCTATGCAGATAGTCTACTTTAGCCAAGGAAGGTTTAAATAACATCACGTAAAGAAAGTTTGTAATATCTGAGATGTGTTGTACTGTTCCTTCCATGGTCTCTCATTTTCTTGTTAGACCACTGAAAGGGAAACAGTATTCAAATCCTCAAATTGCTAACTAAAGGACAAACCATACTTTTTGAAATATCATAATTGTTGAACAAATGAACTTACTTAATTTTTCATCTAAAAGTCAGTTTTAGAAAGTAGGTCCCGCATTAGTCTTTCATATTCAAAACTAGTGATCTTACTACGGCTCTCGCATTATTAATAAATTTTGAAAAATCAGAGTTCAACGGAAATGCCATTCTTATCAGAGTACTTTGTATTCAAGAAAAAAAAAATTGGAGATATTTTTTGAAAAATATTTTCATTAACTGCCTTCACTTCAAGCAGACATTATAAGATAATACTTATATTTTGAAAAAAAAACTGTTCATACCCATATTTAAAACTCTGAACAACAGATTTCAGAAAAAAAATCCATCTTCAATATTATAGTTGTAGGAAGATTCCGAACAACTTTTGACTACTTGCAATTACAGAAAACTCAATGAGTTCAAACAAAATTAGGCCTGTACAATATTTTAAGCATTCTTTGTTCTATCTACGAAATAAGCAATTAAAAAATTTGGAGTAATTTTTGATAACATTTTGGGAATAATGAGGCTTCAAGTGAAATACCCCTAAAATTCAAAATATATGTTTCAAATTCGGAGTGTCCCGAGCTCGCACAGGTCAATAGGGGAGTATCAATTTTGTGGAAAATCTGAACGTGTTTGAGTGCTAGCGTTCACCACGGAGGGACGAAGAGACGGACGGAAGGACGGAAAGAGGGTCCGCCAAACACTTTATTTTTAAGTAAACCAATTATTCTGCAACAAAGACATAGAAAATGTGGATTTTGACAACCACTATATAATGTATCGAAAATACGAGTAGTTTTAGCGCATCACTGCGTGAAATGTAGGCCACTAAATATATTATCCTCCAATAGAATAAATTACGCTTATCAAAATGGAGTAGGTACCAGTGTCGGTGAGCACTCTCTTCAAAAATTGGACACAATTAACATTGTGAAACCACAATGTACTGATAGAAATGTTTTTTTAGTGAAATTTGGTCCAAAATAATACGTTTTTAATAAGGCATGTTATATAAAAAAGGAGTTCTGTGGTATTTTGGCTTGAAGTAAAGACAATTTATAAACAAATCTCAAAAACTGCTCCAAATTGTTCCCCGAATTTTCCCCGAATAGAGAAAAAGCCACACTAAAAAATAACGTGTCTCTTTTTGGTTTCTCAACTCAAAAGTTTCGAAAAATTACAAAATTTACAACTTGACGGCGAGAAAGTATGTTCTGTCGTAGCGGCACTTGTTTCGTTTCCCGGGGTCCCACAATACGACTTTTTTCCTACGAACATCGTAGCATTATGCTGCAGCTTGTATATATATACAAGTATAGTGTTGCGCACAAAAATAGTAAGATTTAAACAGACAAGTATTGTAAGTAGTACAATTATTTATTTGAAAATACCTTGCGAACAAGGTAAAAGGTATGCCATTTAATCATTATAGACAGTAGTTACTGTTTCTTATAAACCGGTGTTGATGTTAAACCGGACCACTATTATATTTTACACATTCCTCCTTGTGGCAAACAAGAGCCTGCATTACACGATGCTGCATGTCCAAGGAATTTAATGCAAGACTTCTCGTACACGACTCTTAAGATCAGATATCCCCATCAGAAGAAATCAGGAGTAGTCAAATCTGGCACCGGCGCTGGCCAGTTGATGACTCCAAATAAGGAAATTAATCGACCTTGAAGAGCAGGCCGCAAGGTAGTCATGGATTGTCGTGTGTCATGAGATGTTGCCTCATCCTTTTGGAACCATACCGGAGATAGGTTGCGATTAGCCAGCACCGAAACAAGAGCGCTACTTACCATCTTTATTTGGAGATCACTAGTAACTGTAACGGCACGGCCATTGTGGTCCTCGAAATACGGGTCTACGATTCCAAACGAAGCATCGGCACTGTCACATCACTGTCACACGTTGACTATAATGCGGTTTTTCATGCTGCTCACGTGAATTTACGGCACATAGTACCGAATATTTTCATTGATCACACCTCTGCTACGTTGAAAATGGTCCTTATTAGACATCAGTAAGTGGTTCAAGATCTGCGGTTCGTCTGCCAAATGACCAAGGAGATCCATAGCAAACGTCCTTCGGGCTAATTTATCATTTTTTAAAACTACTGAAGAACCCGTATCTTCCAGGGATAGTACTGTAGACCACCATGGATGATACGCTACAAAGGACTAGGTGACATTCTTAGCGCTAGAGCATATCAGGCAGCAGGACACCGATGACTTCGTTTTAGTGTTTGACGGGGTTTCTCTATCCGCGCAGGGGTTTGTTGTGACCTAGGACGTCCTAGTCTTTTCATTCCCAACCTAGATGCATTGATACGAAATTGATTCACACATCTTACGGTGGGTGAAAAGTTTCGATGATCAGCAACTTTATCGTTACGTCTCAGTCTGAAATGTCTACGAAATATTGTTTGCACAATAATGAGAGATTATTTATTTTTAAATTACGTTTCCACGACGAAACAGCGGTGCTCTGGAGAACATTTTATCAATAACTGCAAATGGCCATACTTTCCCACTTTATTCCATATTCTTATTTCAGGAATGCGTGTACCGTGCGTCTATATTACGTGACTCAAATCAGGCTATTCTTTCTGTGCAACCATACACTTTCTCTTTTTTTAGCAAGTGCGTAGTAGGTGAGAAAGGGAAACACTGTATCTGAAGATGAAATTTTCATTTGTGATCCAAAAGTAAGACCAAGATTCCGCCTGAACATTTTCTCATTGAATCAAAGGTTACCGGGCGAATATTAGGTTCATTCTCACAAAAGTTAGTACCCTAAATTATATTGATTTTCTGTATACTGTTTCTGTATACTGTATCTGTATACTGACATCAATGAGATAGAGGTTTCGGTGGGTGATGGGTTAGATTACCCGCTTCTGAGCCTCCAGTGCGCGGGTTCGATTCCGGCTGAGGTGCCTGGAGGGGCGGAAAATCGACAGTAGCCATGTCACACGTGTGGCATGTAAAAGAACCCTGGCGTATGTCTGGCAAAATTAAATCCCTCCGGCAACACCCCGTTCTAACGAGATCTCACTTTCTCTTAAGCAGACAGTCTGGATATAGTTAACTGAGACCGACATCTGGGAGAGAAAGTGAAAGTGAAATCCCAGGTTCAAGTAGGGGATCGCCCGCGAGATGGGCCTGCTCGATAAAAGTCCCCAGACCCGCGTCGTGGGTAGGCTTCTAAGGAAGCCTGGGGCGAAAAACACGGATGCGAAACAACTGCCTAGGGACAGTCTCCTCGCAAATAATCCCATACAATAAATAAATAAAAACCAATAAATAAAATAAAATAAATAATAAAATAAAAAATAAATAAATGGATAAGAAACCCTATATTCCTCTTTGAAATATCTACAGTACGTTACATGAAAAAAACATCCTCCAACTTTACTTCATAGTTTTTGTAAAAGCCACAGTATCATCAGGAAAAGCAATTCAACTAGGATGCATCGGTTTCTTTCCAACACTATAGGATTAATTTGAACAATATGATCATCAAAATAGTTTTTCGTTGAATCACTGCCAATGAACGCACCATTCCCATTGCATTCTAAGACGAGTCTTGAAAAATATTATCCATTTTAAAAATGACAGTGAAATGTGAATTATTTTCCGATATTGCTTGAACGATGTGTCTAATATTTCACAAACCCTAAAACGAGTTCAATTTTCTTGAAACGCACCCACGGAAGGGTAGAATCCAACGATGAGTCCTTGTCAAGAGCTAGTTTCGACTCTCTCCCAAGAAATCCTAACAATTGCGTGTTGTTTCCTACGTCTCCACCAACGAAACCGCGAGTCTCTTGGCACATCTTCAACTCTCGAATTGTTTCTTTTGCATGAAAACAAGTTTCCTCTGAAAAAAAAGTGTTTTTCTATTTGATCATTCATGAAATGCAAATATGGTTTGCATGCCGTATAACGTTTCCGTCCTGCCTACCCTAAAACACAACGTTTTTGACAAGCATTTCCCTTGGCCTAAGGCACACTTTCATTTACAGATGTCGAATATGCAAATTTGATTTGTTGAAATGTTTTAAGTTACATTTTGATAATTTTCAATACACTTAATGTAGTTCGCACATAAGCACAATAGGATATACACGGCCAAGAACGTCAAATGAATAATGTCCAGGTTGGATTTCAACTTTCTAATACGAATACGCACTCCTTGTGAATAACTAATTTGTATTCTGCGTATTCCCAATAGATTACGAAGAAGAGACAAAATGAGACGAGGTAGCAGATCGGTGATACTGTTAGAATTTTGCTTCTGAGTCAGTCAAACGATCAACTGCGGCCAGATTATCGGTTCATATTTTTTCAGACACAACAAAAACAGAAAAATGTCACTATGACGTTTAGTCATAATGATATATGTGGAATTATAGTCTTCTGTGCTCTTAATTAGTAGCATTCGTTAGGCAAGTTTACAGACTGTTTGTATAATATTATAAAAAATTGGTCTCTTTCTTCACAATAACATTTCTTGACGTCAATTGTAACAATATGCGCCTTCAATATACGTGTATCTCTTTCACGATCAAACCCTTGTGTTTCTCCTGTGTGTAATTAATTGATGGTTTCTAGTGTATACGCTTATTTTAAAGTAGGCCAGGGAAATGTTACAAACATCTAACACGTGTAGAAAGTTCGAAAATGATCACTTTTTGCCAGTCAACATGCAGTGGGAAATTGCATATAACGGAGTTATATGCATATGTACGTTGACATTTGTCCATGATTGTTAGGCAACCCACATGAAATGGTGTGAGAATTCTGATGAGGTGGTGTTAACGTTATTAAAAAACGAAATACACAAAATAAATACAAAATCTTAAAAAATAATAAACAAGAAGATAATACAAATAATTCAATTAATTTAAAAAATTATATTGACATGAGTAACATTTACAAAAGGTTTTCCAACAAAAAAGAGGGGGTACAATAAAAATAATGAAATTAAAATATGCATATAACATTTTAAAAACTCTATCAAATTAAATTTCAAAAAATAAAACTATTAATTCTACTTTTATGTTCTGATTCTGTTTTACATTTTGTGCCAGTGGATATATTCACCCCTTCAACACATTCTAGGCGCAACGCAGATGATCTACTTAATTGATGTCCCTACAGTGCCTACTCGTATGAACGACAGGTCCTAAGGTTCGAGTTTCAACGGTGGCAGGATTTTCGTCACTAACTAGACCGCTAGGTAGAGGTGAGCCGCTCTCTGGGGCGGAATTCTAGCGACCGGCTGATCTGATCGAAAGTTTTCCGAGGTTTCTCTGATCGATACCAGGCGAATGCCGGAGCAATATCCTCACAAATGGGCCACTTGCCGCGCGTGATCCTCCATTTCTCTTTCTTGTTCTATCCTCACCTCTTACTTACACACATTTACACTTACATGCACTCACTACAACATATGTCGGGAGACCAATCGGGAGCTAAGGGATTGTCTCGGCCGGGGCAGTGCCTCGCTGGTGGGAGATTCCTGGCTGAGGAAAACTCCGCAATCTGTCGTGTAGGTCGGCGCCGCAGCTTGCCTTCCCCCTGGAGATTACAATCACCGCCCGTGAAATACACAGGCATTACACTTACGGGACTAATGTTCTTAGCGGTCGACTCGCCCGGAACCACTAATCAATCAATTAATCAATCAACTCCTTGAGTGCGTCTCCCAAACATCTGCACATTTGCTTAAACTCCAGGTAGAAATACATTTGTTTAACTCCGTTATGTTTAATTTCGCCCTGCATGTCTATTAGAAAAGGTGGTTATTTTCGACCTCCCTACACTCTCTAGAGGTTTGTAGCATTCTATAAACAGTGTATGCGTGTGTGGTTGTGCAGGGCGCCGGAGCGAGAGGCCGTGCCATGGACGGCGGCGGCGCGGCGAGCAGCGCGGCCGAGGGCTCTTCTGCAGCGCCGGTGAGCGCTGGCGCGTCGCCCTCCGCCTCCGCCTCTGCCTCCGCCTCCGCCTCTGCTTCCGCCTCCGCCTCTGCCACCGCCTCCGCCTCCGTCTCCAGCTCCGCCTCCCCGGCCGCGCCGGCGCGCCGGTCCATGGGCACCGCATCTTCGCGCTCCCGGGAAGTAAGTGCACGGACAACGCGGTTGCAAAAGGGTTTCTGCTGGCGAAGGAAATACAACCTCGAGAATTAGGATATGAGGGGGAAAAGAAGTTTGCAGTACCGAATATATCGACTTATCCGATTGCTCTTTAACCCAAATAACATGAAGGTAATGATAAAATTCATGAATCGAACAAAATGTTATTGAGCTACGAGGCATCGAGGATCCAAGGTTGTTAATTTCCTAGTGCACTTTGTTTTATATTTATGTACTATATTTCTTTACAATACCAGTATTAATGGTAAACGTGAAAAATCACTTCTCACTACTAGAGAGGATGTTAAGGAGTTCAAATCAGAGGTCACCTCTCTATGGAAAACCCTTCAAACACCCCATTAATGCGAGTAATAGGTTCTACAACTTATTTTGCAATGAATAAACTCTTAATTCGGTGGAAGATGAAATTAACTTTCCTCCCAATACTGCAAGTTTGTATACTGGGTTATAAAATATCATCCTAAATATATAACGTATGTATGAATATTGTATTTACCGGTAATCCTAATATTATTAAATAACTTACAGGGAATTTTTAATTTCAAACTCGAACACTGAAAAATAGTTTTTATTACTTCGTCTTATGCAAAATTTCTGAGAAGAAAACAAAAATATACTGTTCCTATTTAGGGTGGCAAAAATTGACATAAAATGTTTAGCACATTGATTGAAATTGATATTTATGTCAAATGAGTCACTGATTTAATTCAAAATAATTATCTTTACATTTCTAAACACTTTTCAAATTGTGTCTATTCTTACGGCCTTCCATCATTCTAATTAATTATTTGCGTTAATTAATTATGTACAATAAAGTACATAAACAATTATTATACCAGTTGAACGTCAAGCAACGTCAAGTTATCATCTCACTAGCATGATCTTCGATCAATTTGATGTATCCTTGTACAAAGTATGTTTAAATACATCTTTCAATAAAAATCCTTTACACAAAAATCTTTCATATCAAATTAATATTGGAAAAAAATTGAAACCATTTCTATAAACACATACAATAAACTGTACAAGAGGCACAAAGAAGACGGATGAGAGCACTGAGTCTTAATGCCCTGGTAGGGTGAAGACGAGGGCAAGGGCGTGGAGAGTAATGAAACTGAGACGAGGGCCAGAGGAGGGAGGACTGATATCAAGGAACATCATCAGTGCAGGAGGCAAAGCGGAGAAGACCACAAATAATACCCATTTTTAATTAAAATATAAATTAGTTTTGTTTCCTCAGGTAAACGTTTCTTTATAAAAGTGTTTGGACAATAAAGTAAAATTAAACTAAAAACTTGTTTAAATATCAGTTTTTTTTCAAATCTTCAATCCATAAAAAAAAATTGGAGGTATCCCTTCTGGCATGGAAGTGCTCCATTGCCGGTGGGACGGGTGAAAGCGTGAACAAGTGAAAGGGTGAACAGGTGAAAGAGTGGACAGGTGAAAGGGTGAACAGATGAAAGGGTGAACAGATGAAAGGGTGAACAGGTGAAAGGGTGAACAGGTGAAAGGGTGAACAGGTGAACGGGTGAACAGGTGAACGGGTGAACAGGTGAAAGGGTGAACAGGTGAAAGGGTGAACAGGTGAAAGGGTGAACAGGTGAAAGGGT